CATTTCTTAAAGCCAGCCAATAGTTAATCATGCCTTGAGCCGCATCACCGACCCAACCAGGCGTTCCTCGGGCTTCCGTTCCTGTTAAGTTGGCGGTTGAAGTGTCCACGCAAACCAGTCAGTCTTCGTTGTCTTTGAGACATCTCACTGATTGTTCGATTCCATTGCCTTTCTCTCAAGTTCAGCGGCTCCTCCACAAGGGGTATTTGAATTTATCGCCTTTTGGTTCTAATCATTTCTTGTTTCTGTCTGTATCATTAGTTACTCGTCCTTGTTCTTCTTCCATTTCTGATGTGTGAGTAGCTGTATTGAAATTGTTTCACAATAATAATGTAATAGCTTTTCTCTTTATTTCAAACTATAAAGTGCGAAGCTCATTTTGTTTAAATAACTTCAGGTTTCGATTCTCTGAAATGAGTCACTCGGACATTGAAAGTATTGATGAAACTATTATAAATTGGGAACAAGCTCTGAGTCAGTATGAAACGGTGATGTGCTCGGGTACTGAGACTATGCAAATAAAAGCCATGACGAAGCTAGCCCGTCTCTCTAAACATGCCCCTGAGGGTTTATTAGTTCGCATTATACCCCATCTCATTGAGAATCTCGATGACTACCATTCAGTTAATTCAGACTGTTCTCTTCAAAAGGCTTCTGCTTATTGCTTAAAATGTATAGCTTGTAGAGGTGATGGTGGGTTGGCAAAGGAAATAGGTAGACTTGATGGAGCAAATCCTTTGTTATGGTGGTTGTCACATTCTAATGGCGAGTTTCAAGTAGTCCTGATAAAATGTTTGCTCGTTCTTGTTACTTTCTGTAATTCAAGTCGTGCAGTTGTCGCTGGTAATGAAGGCGTAGAAATTATCATTAGTTTGTTAAATTCTTATACAGATGATGTTAGACTTTACCTGTTGGAAATTTTGAGTGCATTAGCATTGCTGAGGGATGTTAGGAGGGCACTCACTAGATTAGGAAGTCTTAAATTTCTTGTGGAGGCTGCTAGCTGTGGTAGCATGGTTTCTCGGGAAAGAGCTTGTCAAGCAATCGGGTTACTTGGTGTCCCAAGACGGGCCAGGCGTACACTAGTTGAACTAGGAGTGATTCCAGTACTTGTTGACTGTCTTCGTGATGGAGACCACATCATGAAACTTGTGGCCGGTAATGCGCTTGGTGTGATCTCTGCTCATATTGATTATAGTAGATTAGTTGGTCAATCTGGGGTTATCAGTCTCTATGCTGAGCTTCTTCAAGGACCTGACCCTTCTGGTAAGGAGATTGCTGAGGACGTATTTTGTATATTGGCTGTTGCTGAGGAGAATGCTGTTGAAATCACCAGGCACTTGGTGAGAATTCTTAGAGAAGGTGATGATGAATCAAAGGCTTCTGCTGCTGATGTGTTATGGGATCTGGCAAGTTACAAGCACGCAACATCCATGGTCCGGGAGTCAGGTGTGATTCCAATTCTGGTTGAGCGACTGGAGAGTGAAAATGAAGAGATAAAGCAGAACGTCTCTGGGGCATGTGCTCAACTGAGCTATGATGAGGCAGATAGAATGGCACTTGCTGAAGCAGGGGCAATCCCAATTCTCATCGAAATGATGCTGCATGATGAGTTGGAGGAAGTAAGGGATAATGCTGCTGAGGCTCTTGTCAACTTTGCTGAGGATCCTTTGTACTGTGATAGAGTATCTGATGCAATTAGTGTTCCTTCATTTAGAGATATGCAAAACAGATTACTTCACATTCGTGCTTCAAATGAGCATATGGCTAGATCGTTACGGAGAATGACTGATTGGCAGCTCACATGGAACCCTGATCTTGTTTAATCATTGGAAGGGTATTTTTATTCCAACATCTTTGGAACATTGGACATAACAGAAGGATAGGAGGGAATAGGATCAAATTGTGATGTACAGCTAAACTTAATATGCAGGCTGAAGAAACATTGCATGTGCAGGCACAAATGAATGAATGGACACTGTTAAGCCATTCATTTCTGCATTTTTGTTTTATGGGTGGTCTTACTAAGATGGTGTTTCAAGCACTTGGGACTGGGTGCTTATTGGTGATAAGTTGATCAAAATATTTGAATGTGTTAGAGACGTCTCTTATTAATTTCTGCATGACACATCTACATGCTTTATCATTAGTTTTGGTTATATATCATTGTAAACCTTGTATGCTCAAGACTTTTGTGCAGAGAAAATTTAAGATTGTTTTATTTTTAATCAATCCAGATGGGCATTGTTTTCATGAGACCTTTTTGAGGGATTTAATCAATAACTAGTGTTTTAGCTCTCCTGCATAATTCACCTGTAAAATTGTCATATAATTTGGTGTTTTCCTTTTGATTCTATGGTGAGGTGCCTCATTGAAAAAAACCTCTACCGAACTACGTTGTTTGAATTGATGAATCGGTGCTTCCTCTGCTTGGAATATCATGCTGTTTAGTTCTATGACTTCCTGCAATGTCATGATAGAAAAACTTAAGCAGATTATGGAATTAAAACCATTCTTAGTCTCTGCCTGGTGGGATCTTCTGATCTGAATGCTAGGTCATGCGTTTTGTAATTCAGAATTCAGTCTAGGTTGTCATGGCAAAAAAGCATTTGTTGGTTTTAAAATGGTCTAAGGATACTGATTTATATATGATACATGAAGACTAATGAGTGGACTGAATTGATAGTCACAAATTCATTTGCCACATTTGTGTTGGCTATTTCTTCTCTTGGAAAATGATGCTAAATGTCATGTGAGTTACACAGTTATTAGCACCACGGGAATATCTTTTTCTCCTTTAAAGAAATGATGTTCAGCTATTAACAATCAACAATGCTTCACGCTTGTATGATAGAAATGAGCTCTGAATAGAATTATTTACAATAATTACAAAAACATATAATCTATTTGAAGACGGTTCTTTTCTTTGGCCTTATGTTATTGAAATGCTAAAGCAGAAGTATGATATCACTGGGTATATGCACAAACATAGGATTTTTATTTTTATGTTTTTTTTAAGTCTGGTCATTGTTATTGGGATTAGCTTAGAAAGTTCAGTCTGATTGATGAGCCAGCATGCTTGCCGCTTAGTCTAGCTCGTTTCTAAAATTGGAGCAATTGAGTTGCTTTTCATAACAAAGAGTTGGGAACTATGAATATTAATTAAACAAAAAGGAAATACGTTTCCTTTTTTATCTGAGGTGGACCCAATTAAATATGCTGTTCTGCTACAATGATGGCCTGACTTAAATGTCTATGTTTGCTTTTAGATGCATAACATTACCGGCCGAAAAATAAAAGATGCATAACATTAGCTTTTGTTATTGATGTTATTTCTTGTCCTTTGCTTTGTTTTTATGACTATTATTTTTGGTGCATCCTTTGTTTTCCCCCATTGTTCTAGCTTATATGAATTAAGTTCTGGGGTTTCTTCAGGGTCCAAATAAGCTTCATAACTAATACAAGAATTTGGACCTGCACATTTCTAGATTATGTCCTCAATCCTTATCAATATCAACTGAATCAATCTTTGTTGATCTTCACTATGTAATATCGTGTCACAACTGTGAAATTCTTTGTTATTTAGAGAAGATTTATGCAATGTAAGAGCTTGACGTTGTCCTCATGTAATATCCTTCAGACACCCTACTATATGCAAGTTCCCACATCTACTAAGGATTTTTGGCCATTCAATGGCATCGTTTAATTAAAGGTAGGCAGTTCTATTCAAATGGCTGTCTGCTTCAATCTTCAGAGAAGCAGTCAATGAATCTGATATGGAGGCTGAGATTGATACACTCAATAATGTTTTAACGTAAAGGGACGACATATCCTCAGTCGAGTAATTCATCATCGCATGCTACTGATTTTTTTTTTCGGGGAAAAGGAAAAGAACTTGTTTTCTTGACTTTCTGAGCGTTTACTTCCAGGATCATGCAGATTAATTTCTCTTTTTGAATGTAGTTTTGTTCACTTTATTCCCTTTTTTGTTTTTATGTTTTACTACCTCTGATTTTTAATTTAAGAGTTAGTTGGAGGTTAGATTTAATTCTAAATATATAAGATTTTACGTCTCTTTCTGCCAAATTTATAATTTTTTCTCTAAAATATCTCCTATTGATTGTAAAGAGTTTCCACCAAGTAATAATTTCAATGCACATGATTAAAGAGAATAATTTAAAAAAGTTAATATATACTCCTCCGGTCCTAATTATAAGACCCAATTGACTTATTTGAGGAGATTAAGGAAGTAAGTTAAGTTGGTTATTTATAATAAATAAGTATTGTCATTTCTAAAATATCCTTGCTAATTAAGTATATTGGCTAAAACTATCATTATTAAAAAGATTATCTTGGAAAAAAATGCATAAATATAAGAGACAAAATGGATTGGGTCTTATAATTAGGACCAAATAAAAAGTCAAATTGGGTCTTATAATAAGGATCGGAGGAGTATTTGTTATAAAAGCTACTTTTTTCAATTTTTTTAAATTAATTATCTACATCTTATGTTAAGAAATAGAGGTAGTAACTAGGATTTCTAAACTGGTTGTACAACCGGTTTAAAAAGTGCCAAATTTTTAAACTGCTTTTTGTTTTTTTATATCTCCCTCTCTTACCGGTCCCAGGTCCAATTCGAAGAACTCATTTTAACCGGTTTAAAGGGCATTGCAGGTGCATGGCAATACGTGGAACAAAATTTTCAGCACTTGGCTGCTGATCAACCAAGTTGCATATTATTATTACGTGACCTTGACTTCATTACAATTAAGCAGCGATTGACTTAACTAATTAATAAATTTGTTAATTAGGGTAAAATACGCTGAATACATAATATGTGGATCGGTGCGTTTAGTTGTCTATATTTTAATGCTATTTCCATTTAGTCAACTGAAATTTTCTCATTCAAGCTAGCTACCTTATATATACACATATAAGTTCTATTAAAGCGGATTGTATTCTTCTTCAAATTCCACTACTCATCAATCTCTCTGTGATTCCACAACTTGGTTTTTGAAGAGTGAAGGAGGCTAGCTATATGGTGGTAAGCCAGTTCGATCCCTTATTGAAATTAGTGTTATACGACTACACATGTTTATATCAAATTATTAATTTAAATATCCAAATATATTTTTACATATATATAACAATTTATACTGTGCATATATTAATAATATATATTATTATAGAATGGTTCCATGTTCTATTTCTTTTGCCAATATTATTCTTCTATCTTTTTCAAAATATATGCAAACCTTTTCTTGAAATAGAACAGATATCAATATAATTTTAGGGGGAAAACTTGGGAGTAACTTGTGTAATTGATTTCTTTTTTGTTTTTATGGAGAATCTTTGTAAGTTTTAAAAATATATAATTTCATTGAAATTCAAGAGAAGTAGATGTACTTTACTCTTATATTTATGCATAGTTAATAACTCGCTAGGAAAGCCTATATGTGATTCAAATTAATGAAATCAATGCTCAACCTTGTGAAGAAACAAAGGATTGTGATAGAGGTTCCATTGAGCAAGGAAAGATGGAGAACAAGGGCGTTGACCATAGCCTCTGCCGCAATTGGTGAGTGATTTATTAGCTTTTTACTTCTTGTTATTTTAAACGTAGGCGTTAGATAATTAATTTCTAGCGATTACGAAAATTAATTTAATTAGCTATTCATAAAAAATACATGTTGATTTTCTAAAATACCATTTTAATAATTGGCATTAGAAATTATCCTCGCTAATGTAAACCTTTTTAACATATTCAATTAGTAGAAATACTTTGAGAGAAAATTACAAGTTTAGAAAATAAACTCCTCAACTATCACCCATATCTAAAACAGAAGATATTGCCTTTTTTCTTTTGGAGAATAACAATTAAAGATTCTGTGAGGGAATTACTACAAACTGAGCAGAGAATCTATTTACAACTAGAACATTGCAATTCACAATTTGAAAGTCCTCATTGCACATTATTATGTTTATAAAAATCCTTAATTACTACTATTCACTCTTTTCTTTTCTTTTTTTGCTTTAAAGTATTTGCCAAGTCAAGAGATTATTTATAATTATATATTGTAACAATAATTTTTCATATTAATATAACTTTTACGCATGTATTGATTCTTTTGGGACGTCTTTTACATCACAAAGGTGTGTTTATTAGTTATAAATTATTCCCATCCTCCTTTTTTTTTCTGATTATTTCTGCGCATAATATAGCCTGTGTAGATTTGTTAGTTATAAATTATTCCACTAAGTCATCTTCCTTTCTAGAGATGTATGATTTTTTTCCCCCCGAATTTTACATGTGTATGTAGGTGTGTTGTCGGTCACATTGGAAAGGGGGGAGAAGGATAAAATGGTAATAATTGGAGAAGGAGTTGATTCAACCGAACTGACTAAGGGAGTGTTTGGATAGAAACCAAACCATGGTTTCAGAAGTGCTTTTACGGATTACGAAGTAAATATGTGGAGGAGGTTACCTCGTTTTGCGGAAAAGTGCTTCTGAAACCATGGTTTTGGAGCACCCAAACAGGCCCTAAGGCATTGAGGAGCCGCCTCAAATATGCAAAGCTAGTAGGATTGGGTCCACTAGAAGAGGACCACGAATAAGAGCACCATTTCATAATTATTATATGAGCAATCTCAATATCTAATATTGAAGGATCACGTTTGATTTGATTTGTACTTTTATTCGGCTGTGTCTTACCACTAAATTGGAATAATTATGTGTTTTTTTTTACCAGCAAAATAATTATGTTTTTTAAGACTTTTATATATGTGTACATGATATTAGAGCTATCCTTATTTTCTTGCTCTTCATTTCAATAATTACGTTTGATCTTGTTTTAGGACTTATTTGCATCTATTTATTTTAAGTATTTATAAGCACTTTTATGTCGAGACGAAACTCTCCTCATATGCTTACTTGAAAAATTATTTATAACTATTTCAAATAAGTCCTTAATTAATGTTTTGATATTTTGATTTATAGTTCACATTCAAAGTTAGAAACATGCTTCTTAAAGGTCTGTTTCGTATGAGAAAAAGAGAAGGAATGGAAAGAGAGGATAAGTTTTAATAAGCTCGATGTAAAAAAATTAAAGAAACAAGGTTAAAAACTTCTAATTAATTCTTATTGCTCTTTTAGTTTATATCTTCTTTTTATCTGAATTTTATAACCCTACGATTTCAATTTTTTAAATAAAACTCATTAAAAATTTTTCTCTCATCCAATTCCTTCACACCAATCATAGGTTAAGAAATGATAATTCTTTTATTTTTTTTTTTATGTTTTTCATAAAGTTATAAAGTTAAATTAACTCCAAAACTTGTAAATATAAATATATAAATTTTTACAACATTATTTTATTAACATATAAAAAATAAAATTAATAAAGAAAGTAAGAAATTAAATATGAAACCATGTTCCTCACATCAAACAAAATTACGTTTAAATTAAGTGTAAGATAAAGAAACTTTTTTCTTAAAGGTAAAATAAAAGTTGCAAAAAACAAAAAGTAAACCAACTTATTTTATCGACTCTAATCATTAATTCAAATGTTGAATCCTATACTCTTGTATTTAAGTTTCTTGAATGAAGTATTTCATGTTGGCGAAAAAAAAATACAAGAGGAAGAAAAAATTGAATGTGTTTCTGAATTTCAGTTCAACTAAATATTTTTTAACCTTTTAATGTTACAAAACAAACCCAACTATCATATTTAAACTATTTTAAACTTAAAAAATTTGTTATACATATATGATAATAAAAGACATATTTTTATAGATGTTTAAAAAGATACTCTTCTAGTCTTAAATATAGAAGTTAGTTGATAATTTACTTTGGATTCTATGTATAATATCTTAATCGATATTTTCTCTCATATTTATCATTTTCTTCCAAGCTAATTTATACTTACCTCCAATTCTAATTATAAGAGCCAGTTAACTAATTTGAGGAGATTAAAAAAATAGGTTAAGTTAGTTATTTGTGATAAATAGGTGTTCTTTTTCTAAAATATCTCACTAATCAAGTTTATTAGCTAGAACCATCATTATTAGGGAGACTATCTTAAAAAAATGCATAAATATGAGAGACAAAGTGGATTGAGGTCTTATAATTAGCATCAAAATAAAAATTAAACGAGATCTTATATTAAAGACCGGAGGTAGTATTACTTATAAACTAATATAATCTAATGTTATATACAATTATTGTAGGAAAATTAGGTCAAATTTATTAGAATTAAATAATTTATTTATTGTTAATTTATTTAAATAATTTTTATATTAAGGATCGGAGAATTATATTACTAATGAACTTTAACATAAAAAAAAAAGTCAAACAATAATGTGAGAGCCTCAGATTTTGTTATTTTATAATTATCACATAATGTAATCATAATAATAGCATTGAGCTGCAAGATCATACCCTAGCTCCCTAAGACATGCAGGCATGGCTGGATGGCATAGTTCATATTAACGTGGGTGACGAAATAGTTAAGTGACATCATCAATTTGATTTCCCATATCTTTCTTCATATTATTTAATGGATCTCAATCTGATTTTTCTAATTAAATAAATATGTTAATAATGTTAATTATATAATATATAATAACTAATCAACCTTTAATGGTATTGCAAGTTATGAGCATGGCAACGGATGGAGTAACCATGGCTTACAATTTTTGTGCCAGGAAATAAATGCTCTATTTAATTTAACTATACACATTTTTCTGGTATGTTGAAGAATTAAAAGATGCCAAAATTTCAAATTGTTTTATAATTTGGTATTTGTTTGAGTTATTATAAATTTTATTTTTTGTGTATTGTTTTGTTTCATAATTTTCTTTGATTTAAATTCATAGAGCATCAACCAACAAAAGTTGGATCTAATAAAAAGAGTTAATCTTTTACAATATAACAAACAAGTGCTCAATTATTTGTTTGAAAAGATATCCATATTTGCCACTAGCAGTTGGCCGAGTGGCATGCGTGTGTGTGTTGGGTGCATGTGTTGCAGGTTCGATCCCGCCCTGTTGTAACCAAAAAAAAAAAAAAGATATCCATATTTAATACCTAAGCATGCTTTAAACAGAATTGTTTTAATAGGATTTTTGTGTTCAAGCTAACATAAATATCTCGTTCAGTCTTATTGCCTTGTTAGGATATTTTGAGTTTTATTTCTTGATTTGTTCATTAAAATCTATACTGCATTAATGCTTTATTTTCTTAATTTGCATTACTGAAAATATATATAAACTCAATAATAATAATTAATAAGAACTTTATCCCTTTTGACATACCATCTAGTATTAAGTACTACACTTTCTACTCTTTGATTGTGTTTGTAAATGTGTGAAAAGACAACTTATTTTCTAGGGATGCATGGAAAAGGAGATGAGATAGATATATCATTCATCAGGGATAAAAGTTTTAAAAGAAAAGTATTAAATGTTCCAACATCCAAAATATAACTTATAAAAATGATGAAACCCATTTAGGAAAATTAAAGTATGTTACCTCCGGTCCTTAATATAAGATTTAGTTGACTAATTTAGAAAGATTAAAGAAATTAGTTAAGTTAGTTATTTGTTATGAATATTTATAGTCTTTCATAAAATACCCTTACTAATTATGTATATTAGCTAAAATAACTATTTAATGAAACCTTTAATATGTGCAACTATTACAAGAATTATTTTTTAAAAAAATAAATATATATTAAAGACAAAATAGATCGGATGTCTTATATTTATGATCAAATTGAAAATTAAACAAATTTTTATATTAAAAATCGAAGATAGTATAAAGAGGACGGGAGGAAGTAATGACCAATTCATGAATTCGGTCAATTCTAACTGAATGAAAGTTTCATCAAAAAATTTTCTCCAAATTCATGTGGCTTGAATTTGAAACCTTTATCAAATTTCTTATCTCTCCCCATAACTGTATTTGGTATCAAGAATTTATTTTTATCAATAATGCTTTTTTTTGTAATTTTGTTTATCCATAATGCTTAGTTCTAAAGGATATTGCATATCATTATCATGTGCATTACATGTGCGTAAAATTTTCAACGCATAATGCACTCAGATCATGACTTAGAAGTTTCATATATTTGATGCTGCACAGTCTTGACTTTTCATTCATAAATAGTTGACTTGACTTATATATTGTTAACTAGGGCAAAGCACAGTGAACCCATAATTATGGATCGGTACATATAATGAATTATAAGATTATAATAAATAATTAATATTATTTTGTAAGTTTTTAACTAATTAGTCAAATCAAGTGTTCCCATTGAAGCAATATAAGCATCGTGTGGTTTAGAGAAGATTACGTATATATGAAATATTTTACGATGGCCAGACGGTGTAGAGTTCATAATTAGTTATATATATTTGATAATTTATTTTTTCTTATGTTCGTGTTTACGTATCCCATATATGAGAAGTGAACTCTCTTTTGTAATGGCCCGATGCTTATGAGATGCTAGCCATGCATATAGCTTGTGCTTATATTTTTTAATAAATTAGTAATTCATTTTCTTAAAAATTATATGTCGTTATCATAATATAATTTCCTAACTTTTGTTTTTTGCAACCGAAAATTTATATTCATGGCAACTTCCTCCCAATTTAATGCATAGCATGTATGAGATCTTGCTTTTTTCAAATTTGGGGGGGGGGGGAATTTTGTTAATAAAACTTTTTTTTTGTTACATATAAGTATTCTTTTATTAGAGGCAATCATATTCGAAGCACTGTTGGATACTAAATGTTAACACCTCTCCTAATAAAGATTCAAATGTTGCTTTCTATATTGTAAGGGACTAAATTTTTTTTTTAGATTCAACTCCTGGTAAAACTAATTTTGTTAAAATTACACTAAGTTCCCATATTTTAAAATAATGGGCTTTATTTTGTCATTTTACCATGGTCAAAATGGGCCCCAAATAGGAGAACACACTTCATAGTTCAGCTTGAACTTTGGGGCCTCTACGGAACCGCGTGGTGAGGACAGCGAATTACACTTTGCCCTTTGACAAAAACAATACCCTCGGACTTTGGTACTAAATGTAAAAATTAAATAGTTAATTTATAAAAATTAAGAAGATTAATAAAGTTAGTTATCTGTAATAAATGTATTAATGTTTTTTAAAATATCCTGTTTAATCATTTACATTGGAATTACTTTTAATAAAAAAAATATCCTATTTAATCATGGGAAAATGACAGATAAAGAAGGTGGAATATCTGAAATTCCAATTTGGGAAGCTAAGCAAATGTAATGACAATGAGGGAAGTACTTCCCAAATTGGAATTTTGAAATTCAGTGAAATGACAAAAATGCCCTTTGTCTTTTTTTTTTTAAAAAAAACACCCAACCTCTCACCGGTGGCCGGCCGCCGGCAACCACCGCCGGCAATTGGCCGCCGTCAGCCGGCGGCCGCCACCGGGTACCGCCGCCGGCGGCCGGTGTGGTGGCTGCCGGTGGAAGTTTTTTGTAATAGTTTTTTTTGTGTGTGGGAGAATATTACAAGAAGTGGTAGGGGTGGGATTTGATCCCACGACCCCTTGGCCATTTGGGCCAACAAAAGGACAGATGACCATTGGGCCATCAAAGACTTCTTAGCTTTATAATGCAAACAAAAATATAAGTTGACTCTTTTACTGTGACTCCAGCCCATGACAATAATTTACCTCAGGATGACAAGTTTTAATTGAGAAATAACAAGTCTAAATTTGATATTAACAAAGCGACTTTTCCTGATACATAATAAGAAGTAACAGTATATTAATTAAAAATGACAGTTTATTTGAATATGACACGTCTTTACTGAAAAATGACACGTCTAAACGTGAGATTAACAATATGCCTTTTTTTTTATATATATATAACAAGAAGTAGCATGTACATTAATTAAAAATGACCATAATTTATTTGAAAATGACACATCTTTACTGAAAAATGACAAGTCTAAACTTGAGATTAACAATGTGTCTTCTCCTGATACATAACAAGAAGTAGCATTAACAATATGTCTTCTACTGAAAAATGACAAGTCTAAATTTCAAATTAACAATGTGTCTTCTCCTGATACATAATAAGAAGTAGCATTAATAATATGTCTTCTCCTAATACATAACAAGACAAGTCTAAACTTGAGATTAACAATGTGTCTTCTCCTAATACATTACAAGAAGTAACATTAACAATATATCTTATACTGAAAAATGACAAGTCTAAATTTAAGATTAACAATGTGTCTTCTCCTGATACATAACAAAAAGTAGCATTAACAATATGTCTTCTCCTGATACATAACAAGACATGTCATTTTCAAATAAATTATGGTCATTTTTAATTAATGTACATGCTACTTCTTGTTATGTATCAGGAGAAGACACATTGTTAATCTCAAGTTTAGACTTGTCATTTTTCAGTAAAGATGTGTCATTTTCAAATAAATTATGGTCATTTTTAATTAATGTACATGCTACTTCTTGTTATATATATAAAAAAAAAGGCATATTGTTAATCTCACGTTTAGACGTGTCATTTTTCAGTAAAGACGTGTCATATTCAAATAAACTGTCATTTTTAATTAATATATATACTGTTACTTCTTATTATGTATCAGGAAAAGTCGCTTTGTTAATATCAAATTTAGACTTGTTATTTCTCAATTAAGACTTGTCATCCTGAGGTAAATTATTGTCACGGGCTGGAGTCACAGTAAAAGAGTCAACTTATATTTTTGTTTGTATTATAAAACTAAGAAGTCTTTGATGGCCCAATGGTCATCTGTCCTTTTGTTGGCCCAAATGGCCAAGGGGTCGTGGGATCAAATCCCACCCCTACCACTTCTTGTAATATTCTCCCACACACAAAAAAAACTATTACAAAAAACTTCCACCGGCAGCCACCACACCGGCCGCCGGCGGCGGCGCCCGGTGGCGGCCGCCGGCTGACGGCAGCCAATTGCCGGCGGTGGTTGCCGGCGGCCGGCCACCGGTGAGAGGTTGGGTGTTTTTTTTTAAAAAAAAGAAGACAAAGGGCATTTTTGTCATTTCATTGAATTTCAAAATTCCAATTTGGGAAGTACTTCCCTCATTGTCATTACATTTGCTTAGCTTCCCAAATTGGAATTTCAGATATTCCACCTTCTTTATCTGTCATTTTCCCTTTAATCATTTACATTGGAATTACTTTTGATAAAAACACTTATAATACGTACAATCAATGAGAATAATTTAGAAAAAAATTATAAATTTGAAAGCTAAAGTGAATTGAGATCTTTCAATTATAATTAAAATAAATTTCCTAACTGGCTTTTAAATTTAAAATAGAAGGGAGTATCTTTTGACCCAAAAAAAAAAAAAAAGGAGGGAGTATCATTTTCACCACAAAAGAGAGGGGATGAAGTTTTCATGAGTTTCAAGCACAAGCCGCACATTGACAATCTATGGCTAATGGAGGGATGTAGCCATATAAGTATGGAAGCTCAACACAAGGCTTTCCTTTCAAAACTTGTCTTTAAAATGGCCGCCAAAACAAATGTTTCGAGTCTTTAGTTGTTAAAGGAAAGCATCAGGCCGGAAAAAAAAATAGTTGTTAAAGGAAAGCAACCTTCTAGTTTCTTTTCTGGTAATTTGCAGGTGTGGCTCAAGTGGAACACTTGAAATAGCCCGGGAAAAAAATCTCTTCATAACAATCCTTGGAACAGAGTATTTAGCTTGGGTTGCTGGATTCTATAGACTTCCAGATGCCAATATGTCTTTGAAGGAACCACGCGATCTACGTTGGATCTTGTGCACCAATGTTCTTATCTCATCATGGAACAAGTGACAAACAATGATCTCTATCGTCAAGTATATAAGGAGGTGGAGGATCAAGAACCAAGATGGACACCGCCACCACGGGACGCAGTTCAAATCAATGTTGATGGCTCGGTAAGATACGGACAACAAGCGGCATGCGGAGGATTAATTCGGAACCATGAAGGACAATGGATCATGGGATTCACAAAATCTCTGGGTATATGTTCTGTCAAGAGAAGCTGAGCTACTGGCGATCAAACACGGGCTGGAGCTCGAACATAAATTGGAATTCCAGAAAACTCTGATATATTCTGACTCTCTGGACGTTTTTAACATGCTCACAAGAGACTATGCAACAGATCACTCCATGAGCAGTACAGTCCGAGAGGTTAGAAACCTCCTACTGCAAAATGGAGAGACAGAGCTTAGACATACGTGCAGAGAGAACTTGAGGTGTGTAGATTTCCTTGTGTGAAGGGGACACGCAAGTTCGGAGGAGCTTATCTTATTTCTAGAAGTACCAAATGGATGCTGGCACATGTTCTCAGAAGATATTCAGAGAGACCAATAGCCTTCTCGCCCGGCTCTTTGTGCTTTTACTGTAATTTTAATTTAGAGTCGGGAAAACGGATTAAGCCCATCAGGCCAGCCCTTTTAGGCCCTGAAATTATGAGGACTGGACTTGAAATTTTTCCCCTCAAATGGAAAACAAGCCCTGAAAGGTTGAGGGTTTAAAAGGACCAGCCTGTTTAGGTTCTTTTATAATTTTTTTTGTTTTTTAAAATTTTTTATGTAATTCTAATATTATTAATTTTTTACATTGTTAATAATATTTTAAATATTTAGTTATTATTATCATTTTAAAATTAAATTTTATAGAATGATTTGATTTATTTAGTTTTAGACAATAATTTATCCAATTAAATTTTTAAAAAATGGGTTAATTTGACTTTAATAATGATTTAATTTAGATTATATGCGTTGATATTTTTAAACTATATATATATTTGATAATGGAGTATTTTTATACTTATATAACTTGTGATTCTATAATTTGAATTAGAAATTTATGAGTTTCGACAATAATGCTTCTCACATTAAAGTAAAATAATAGCTAGATTGTAAAATTTAAAAGTAAAATTCCTATAAAGAAGAAAAATTTGATATTTTTGTTATGAAAAAAAAGCATACTTATAAAGAAGAGTTATTAATTATAGTGATGATAAAATTTCAAAAGATTAATGATAGTATTTATTTATTGCACAATTGCACTATAAATAAAACTTTTAGATGTTGTTATCTTGTTAATAAATGTTTTAGATATTCTTGGATATTGATGGATATTTATATATGATGATATTTATATTTGTAACTTAATTTTATTAATGTTTATGTCTTTTATTTACAATTTTATTGGTTTATTTTCATTTTTTTGATAAAAAATATCAGAAATATAAAAAATGATAGTTTTTCTTAAATGGGCCAAAACCCGCAGACCGATCCTGAACTCGTTAGCTTAAGGGTCGAGCCTAGCAAATTAGAATATTTTTAAAATTTCAACCTTAAAAAGCCAACCTTTTTAAACCCGCCAGTTCTGAAGGGTCAGCCCTGGAGGGTCAGGCCAGCCCTGATTCCTACATCTAAATTTTACTTTGTCTCATGCGAGACTTCTTTAGGCCTAGGCTTGCCTCCTATTTCCAAAATTAAAAAAAAAAAAAAAAAAAGAAGAGTGCATGCACGCGCACGCGTGAGAATCGGAGAGGGGGTTTAGATCGTCCAAGTAAAAGGGGGAAAATAAATTTATTTCCTTCGAAGTAGTGTCTGAACCAGAGCATCTCAAGTCTATTTCTGATTAGCAGTAATTTTTTCTTTTTTGGCCAATTCTGATTAGCAGTAATGGAAATTGGAAATGAAATAAATTCCAGCACCTTCTACTGTAGGCTTCCTCGTTTTTATCTGTACAGTTTCTTTTGAATGAAATACTTCCCTTTTATTATAGAGGAAGAAAATACAAGCCGCAAATAAAGCCGACGATGCAAATGCATCTCATCCCACTAATCTCCCTATTATCCAATGAATTATTCTCATTCTTTTCAAGTCTCTCTCTCCCCCCAATCTTCACATCATTTTATGATGTTGCAAGAATAGCACAAAGCCCCCCAAAAACAAACAAGCAAACAAATCACGAACGGTCATGACCATTTTTGGCTTCATGTTCAACTTCATCAGATAGGCTGTCCTGGGGTCTCTCTGAGAATGCTTCTCCATCATATTCCGCGCTATCCGAATCTTCTTCATCATTCCATCTTCTCTTCATGATTTTTGGGACCAGCCTAGTTACTTCCTTGCTCTCCAACATTTCTTCTTCATTGTTTATTCGTTCAAACCGAACAGCGCTCACTTTTCTAGCATTTCCTGCTAGTATCTGGGGGGAAAATAAAACAATAAGCTTGCATGTACTCTGCACGTTGCAGGAGAGCAACGGAGAATACAGAAACGACAGTAAATCCGTATTCTCCCCCCCCCCCCCAAAAAAAAAAGAAAGTAAATCCATATTGAAGGAGCTCTGAGATTATCATCTTAATATGATCAATAAGGATGGTACAAGACACATTTTTCAATGTTCATCGTGGTCACATTCTTCCATATTTTATCCATCTCTTCCATAACCCTGGGGATATGTTTTTCTCCAACTCACACAAACCTGCGTGTGCTTCATCACCCCATGCCCATGTTGCACCTTCCCAATATATACTATAAAAAGATCACTTTTATCAAACATCTTTGAAATCACTATGCCAATAATGGATCAAGAAATTCAGATACCTGTATTCTTTAAATTGCATATTTCACTTTGAAATCTTTAGTTGGTTCCCAAAAAAAAAAAAAAAAGCCTTACAAAATCTTTAAGAAGTTCATAATTTGTAAGCACACTCACAAATTATCCAATAAGTATTAAAAACATTTCTAATAAAAAAATTCCCAACAGAAATACTAACAAAGGCATTGGTGGAGTGGACTCTAGAAATATCCGAGACTGGGAATTTTAGCAATACTACAAGCTGGATGCACTAATGGTGTAATTGGCATATTGGAGCTAAGAGTTACATTGCTAAGCAGTAAACGTCGGGACATTTATATCGTATATAGATACCATTCCCCTAGTATTATACAAAGTCTAAGGAATGAGTTGTACGGGGCTTGTGGATAGTGAGTCTTGCTCATGCTATAGATTATATTATATATATCTTGATTTGAGTAACAACTGAGATTCGAGAGCTAGAATTTATTGATGATATTTCTGTTGTAGTTAGTTATTATATGCACCCTTGATGCACCTGGCTCGCTAATCTTTCCTGTTCTTACCCTTTCCAACTTTTGAGGAGGCATGGAAAACACAAACACGATTTCCAGAAATTAAAAAAAATTACCTCGAGTTTGAAAATTTGATACTTCTCCTTTGCCTCCTGGTTATCACCATTAGACTCGTCATTTTCATCTTCATCTTCCCTTTCAAGAACCACCTTGACACTCTCACCTGTCCTTGGGATATAGCCAAATGCTTCACACACAAAGCCTGAAACTGTCTCATATTGATGACCCTGTAATAATGAAAGTTAACCAAGCAAGCGTTATGGGAACCATCTAAGCAAACCCGCTTGACTAGGCTCTACAACTTGAGGAAAAATCTCAGACTCAGTTGGCTATTCTATGGGTTGATTCATAAAATTACTCATGACAAATGGCTCTGTGTGTTGTAACATATGCTGGTATAGCAATATGGAAAGTTGCATTAACTCCAGCCAAATACAAGGTTATTAGACTACATCACATTTGCTAAACCTGCCACTTTGTTTCATTCATAAGCCAAGTATAAAAGCTGCATATATTATAAAATAGCGGACCTCTGGCATCTTGATGTTCAAATCTTCAGAGAGCTGATCTATTGATGTATTTGCATCCACATCAAATATACCCTCGGCTCGCATGACAATGTACCCAGTTTTTTTCTGTATCTCCTCCTGTTGAATAACCAAAGAAGAAAAGGAAATTTATTTTAATGGAATATCAATTTGCAATTTGCAATTTGCAAATCGTTATAACAACAAACACATTTAACCGTTGATAATTCCTGTTGACAACCTAAGAGGAAAAGCCAAAATACCTAAACATTCGATATTGTTATTCCTTATAGGCAGAACTAGAATGAGAATAATGCAGAAAGGCATTCTGATGTGCATATTAAACAAAATCATTCTACAATATCTAATCAGCAGTACCATTTGCAACCTCTAAGGAGCAAGATTATTGTATATTTGCTTACCAAAAAGGCACAGAAATGCATGGTTTTCTGGTGGAACTGATGAAAATGAACAAGGTTTTCAAAGAATTGGTAACGAGTTTTACCTTTGAATCATTTTCATCAAAGATTTCACCAACAATTTCCTCAACAGCATCTTCTAGAGTTACAATCTACCAAATTGAAGCACATATCAGATATTGAGGTTCCAAGCAAATCAGCTTGCAGCATGTTAGAACTTATAGGAAAAGCATGTAAAATAGACTTCAGAAGTAGTGTTTAGCAATAAATCTAATTAACTACACCTACCTAGCAAACTTCACTCTGAAATAAGATATATAAAAAATATTTACTCAATTTGTCAAACAAAATGCCATAGTCATGTGCCGGGGTGAATCATAAAATCATAAAAATGAAAAAATTAACTGGCCACAGGAAAACTGACAATAGAAAAGTATCAGCTATAAAACTAGTAATGGTAATGGCAGGAGATTGATTTGGTGATGGCAGGAGATCGATGTAATAGCTATCTACTAAATTAAAAGAATATAACAACCTTATAGATTTTGAGTTGAAAATAAAATTAGAATTTTTAGATAATTTGCAAATAATTGCGCAGGAGCACATAGTGGTTGTGACCTCTAATTCCCAATTAACAACAGGAAGACAAGAAAATAATGTGTATTGAAAAACAAAAAACCAGAGAAAGCATGATTTAATAGCTACCCTATCATAAGCTTCCTTTACTATATAAAGCTGAATAGCATGATATACTTTCAATGAATCAAACATTTTACATCATATTTTAGTGTTTGATGTCAAATACAGATCTATTTTAGTTGGCTTTAATAAGGCGTGTCCATACACCCACAGTTCCACCATACTCATGGAAAGACGAGAGAAACAGAAATTCAGAGATAGCATGTTTTAATTGCCACACTATCACACGCTAACTTTAATTGACAACGCTAATTAGGATGATATATTTTCAAAGAATCAAACATTTGACTTCATATTTTAATGTTTAATGCCAAACACAGATCTAATTTAGTTGACTTTAATGAGGTGTACATACTCCCACAGTTCCACCATACTCATTAAGCACAACCGCCATGTGAACTTTCCGGATTCGGAACTCTCTGAGAAGATTCCAAACAGACATTGAATCTGCATAGCCAATTATAAGAATTTATTCACCCACTAATGTACATTAAACATAAATGTTATTCTTAACCAAATTTCAGTACAAGGAAAAAAGAAGAATTACTAAATAGAATAGTCAGATAGAAGAAGAAAGAATAGTCATTAAGAATGCAGACAGTGCATGTATGCAACCCATATTGTTTTCCACTTTCCTTCTGTTGATGCCAACTAGCAAGTAATTTGGCAGAAGTAAATGAAATTCCAAGATTATCAAGAGAAAATGATGTCTGGCAATATCATGATAGCAAGCCTGTTCTATATTCTGGGACAAAAGCCCCCAAATCTACCCCAAACATGCAATGAGATATATGGAGCAGCACGTGGTCAACAGGGCAAGAACATCTGACTAGCCTTTCAAGCTATAGTTGTCCAATATCGTTAGGAGGCAAGACTGACTAAATGCAATAGACATAGAATACTCGCAGACCAATGTTTATATTTTTTTTATCTACTAGGAAAAATGATGAAAGGTGAAAAATAGGAAGCAGATTTGGAGAGACCAGAACTCAAGCTGAATATTCCTTATTTTGATGTGTTCCTGTCTACGCTTTAAGTGTAACAGCAGCCAGAAATATGGACATAATTCACTCACACACGGTTGAGGACGAAATTAGTTACCAGGAACAAAATATGCGGGCTTGTGTGCCATGTCTCCAACAGTGGTACTTTCTAGTAGCTCACCCTTCAAAATCAAAGAGATTACAATTCTGCAAACTATGAGATTGGGGGATAGAATTAATAGCCAAAGCAATTATAACAAGTACAAGAGATGACAGGAGTTAAATCTCGCAACCTTTTGAACATAGTCCAGGAGATCCATTGCATATGCAATACCCATTATATTATCAACACGCTGCTCAAAAACAGGCACCCTAGAAAAGATATCATGACCCAGTTAGCAAACTTAAAAGAAAAAAGAAAAAAAAAAAGAAGCATGCAACATAAACTCAAATGATCTAGATATACCTTGAGTATTGATGAGTGACCCACAAGTGGTGAAAATCTACAAGGCTTGCACTTGCATCAATCGCGACAACATCAACAAGGGGTGTCATGACTTCTCTGACATGAGTGTCTTTTATCTCCAGCACATTTTCAATCATATCCTATGAAAAAGAATTAACTTCATCATTCATACTCACCAGAAAACTAAAAATATGTGACAAAGGAATATACTTTTTTCCCGCACGTCTGATCATTTCATTATTAACTATATATGAATATATATATATATATATATATATTATATATGCCGTAAGAAACCTATAACAGTCACTGAAAAAGTAGTGTTTTCCTTAGAGAATCAATCACTTAATCCTGTTTTCAAGATTAACATTTTTGTACGGTTCCCAAAAAAAGGAAAAAACAAAAGAAAACCTTTTATTTTCCATTCATGATTTTTATCATCTTATGTGTGAGAAACACAGTGGTTTCTAATATTAGCGCATTTGGGGGAAAAAAAATCCTCTTTTCAATAGAGGATAAAGATTGACACATAGCATCATACGAAAAAATGGAATGTTTTCCTCATCCAATACGTCCCACTTATTTTTATACTGACGATAAGTCACTATTTTTATTAGCTTATTACAACATATTTTGATTTCAATTACATTTATAATAAAAAATAGTACAGATAATGGAATATTCATTTTAATTTTATATACATTAAAAATGACTATTAAATAGGAAGAATGCCACTGGGGTGCAAATATAGCATGCATAACCACTGTCAGATTAACAGCTGGTGAAAATAAGTTCATAAAATATATCAACTTAATGTAAAGAATATAGTTGCTTATATGATACATAATGTCAAGCAACATTCCATATTAAACACCAACGGTTCTATCAAATACTAATAATGTTCTCAAAACCAGTCATTCTTTGTGCCTTCTAGATTTAGAATATAAATCATTCCATTCATTTATCACTTTCTGATGCAATTGCAAATATATCACAGTTATTTTAACATATTCTCTATATACAAAAAATAGTCTATTGCAAGTTAACAAACATTTCAGATTTTAATTTCACAGCAACAATATATTCCTTGTGTGACAAAAACAGGTTTAGCGTACTAATGAAATCATTAGAGTTCACAGATCATTAGTAAATAATAAAGTTACCCAAAAAACTGATGGGGGAGAAAGGAAATATAATCACTCCTGAAAGTAAATTCCAACATAAATCAACGCCAGCATTGGTATTATGGATGCCATAATATATAAACTAAAATATTTTTCTCCACTTTATTAACTTTACTAGAATAGAAAATTAATGTTTAATGTTTAATACCTGTTCTTCCTCCTCTATTGCCCCACTCAACTCTGCACCTCTTAACATCAATTTCAGTTCATCCTCAGTTACATAGGGTTCACTGGTACAGTTAACATTGACAACAGTTCAGTGCTAGCAATAAGCATCTATTGAATATCATACCAACCAGCAAATGACAAAAGAATTCCACATGCACACTTTAAGCTACGTGAGATGTATTTTTGCAGATAAAACATGTTAAACCGACATTTTCCCTTGAAACAAGGTTTGGCAAATACATTAAAGATTATTTTGTTCCCAAATAAATTCCACAACATGCACGCACAAAGTTTTTAATATTCCCAGGGAGATTCTGTTTTACTGTCCACCAACTTATAAGTCCAAAATGGCCCCAATAAGCTAGCGCCTAAAATTCATTAAATTATTAATATAACAATTTCATCTCCCCAATAGGACCCTTTGCAGCTTCCTGACAACGTTTAGGTATTGCAAGGTGCATAAACTGAACCACAGAAACTTAACAGAAATTCCAATGATGCAAATACAAAGACATTATTGCAGAGATGAAAGGATTAAAATTGTGACAAAAACTATTAGGCACCAAAATCTCTGATAAAATGCTAGAAAAATATATACAATGCAACAAGAAAGAACAATCTCTAGCTATCTTTACAGCAGACCTTCTTCCTTTTAAGCCAAGCAATTTCAGCATCCCATTGAAAGGTAAGTGACAATTCTTCCTGCTGGGTACAATACCAGAGAAAGCCAAGCCACTGGCCGGACCTACAGGTATTTAGAGCCACAATTTGTTATAAAATGGAGCCAAGGCAGGAATGAAATGTAAATACAAGAAATGATGTATTCACATCTACGGAGCACTATTTCAGCATCAAAATAATATATTAAGGAACAAAAAAAAAAAAAAGAACAACTTACAACAAATCGGGCCACCTCTGTTGCATTATGAACAGCTATACTCTTTGGAGTGATTTCAGTGAGAAGCAAAATGGCAACCTAAAATGAATAAGGAGAAAAGACAGAACTAAGATACTTATGTAAAAACAAAAGAAAAGAATTTCTTACAAAAGGAAACACAGTATTGAAATCATGTTGTACGTAACATCATTTTTCTTCACAAAAATAGTTTATGAATAGAAGTCACAAACAGCCAGACTGTGAAGCATGCATCAAATTTCAGAGGATAAACGATCAAAAAGTTAAGACGAAAAGAGACTTTTCTTTAAATCATGCGGGGTGCAATTTTAGTGATTCAAGACCAAAAATGTTCTTGTTAACATCTTTGAGAAAACTTTCCGTTCATACCAATGAGTACCACCCAGGTAACAACGACATTAGGGAATGGGGAAGAGAAGAAAGTGATCATATGATAAGATTCAGTCCATCATGGAGATAACGGAATGATCCCAGCAACCAAGCAGCTCAGGGACAAAAAAAGGAAATCCTACAGGCTTTTCCTCTTTAACTTAGAAGCCATGCTTTATTAATTGAGTTAAATTCCCCCCCCCCCCCCAAAAAAAAAAAAAGTTGAGTTAAATTTGGTAGCATTTTTGAAGTAATGATCATGTGGCAAATCCAGGTTAACATGTCCTCAAGTCTAAATGAAGCATTAATGCAGTTTTCTGTCACAATTACTATAAAATAAACACTCAAAAATATTTCATAACAAGTATATAAAGCAAATTAGCGATTAGTGAATAGAAATTTAAAATATGAAACATTAATTAGGATAATACAGGGGATAACCTACGTCCACAAAAGAAGTGTGATATATATACTGATAAATAGAGTGTTTCAAAGTAAATTAGAAGTTTAATAGCCTGGCGGGCCTAGATATTTGCGAGTCAAATTCAATAGCCTAGACTCTTTAAACATTTTCTCACATGCTAGAAGAGCTAAACTTCTCAAATTTTCAACAGCTCAATTGAAAAATCAACGAAACATACCGTCATCACTCCTGTTGCTGCACTAACACCAGCTTCACCAAAAATAGCAGTTGCAGCTTCCGTGACCAGGGCTGTTGCTCCAATATTGACTACACTGGGTAAATAAAAGTAGAGACAAATAAGAAAGACATTATTGAAGTAGAAGTCATGTTATGGGCTAATGGAGCAAGAGAATTACGTCGTGCCAATAAGTATAGTTGTAAGGAACCGAGTAACATCACTTCGGAGCAGTCTAAAGACACCATTTTCGGACTCCTTTTCAGCCAACTCACGAACCTTTGCACAAAATATCATTAACAATGATAAGACTTTAGACTTCAACCAGCTTAATTATTAACTAACATAAATGCTAAGGTAAAGCCAATGTGCACAAAATTACAGCCCCAATGAAGGCATAAATTCTGAAATACTAAATTCTTAAACAAGTAGATAGTCAACTGATATCACATAAAGGTGAACTAAAAAATTCAGAGCTTAAGTGGCATTAGAAAAGTAACTGATAAACTCTGCAGTCTAGCCGACAGTACAGCCAAAATCTCTTTTGTGAAATTTCTACTAGCATGTTTGCTAAGAGGCTAGTGTCCAATTGTCTAAGATGACTACACCTCTCTTTACCTAAAGGCAAACTTTGGACATTCATATGCATGTTAACAAGCCCATCTCAATTCCCCACTACACGCACCTAGAAATGTTAATGCACCCCAGTCAATTTCCCTTTTGTCAATTAGACTTTGTTAAGTAGGTCTAGATAAATTGATGTTTCAATACCAAACATTATAATCACAACTTATAACCAGTTAGCATATGGTCAGGACAATATTTCATACCTTCCAAGGCCAAAGGGTAGTAATTGAAGTCTCGGCCATGGAGAAAAACGCTGAAAGACCCAAAAGAAATACCAGTACCAAACCTTGCTCCTTAAACATCCGAAGAACTTGTAACACCTTAGGCCATGCATTTCTGAGCAACAATACGCTCTGTCCAATAACTCCATATCCAGCGTTTACTACACCTTCAATTGCGAAGACTCGTTGACATCCAACGA